CAGCACTATAGTCCTTAAACACTGAGTCAGCACTATGAGTCCTAAACCATGAGTCAGCACTATGAGTCCTAAACCATGAGTCAGCACTATGAGTCCTAAACCATGAGTCAGCACTATGAGTCCTAAACCATGAGTCAGCACTATGAGTCCTAAACCATGAGTCAGCACTATGAGTCCTTAAACACTGAGTCAGCACTATGAGTCCTAAACCACTGAGTCAGCACTATGAGTCCTAAACCATGAGTCAGCACTATGAGTCCTAAACCATGAGTCAGCACTATGAGTCCTTAAAACACTGAGTCAGCACTATGAGTCCTAAACCACTGAGTCAGCACTATGAGTCCTAAACCATGAGTCAGCACTATGAGTCCTAAACCATGAGTCAGCACTATGAGTCCTAAACCACTGAGTCAGCACTATGAGTCCTAAACCATGAGTCAGCAATACTCAATGATTTGAGCAATACTCAATGATTTGGCCCCCCTAAGAACAACCAGGGTAAAAAATCGCGCTGAGCCGTGGATGCACTCCGGCATACTGACCGCCATGAAAACCAGAGACAAAAAATGCTCTGAGTTTCATAAAAGTCAGTCAATGCTTTCCAAAGCACGAGCAGTGAACTCCAGGCCCACGTGACTGAACTAAAAATTGAAAGAAAACAGACTAAGAAATGACGTAAGCTCCATGATCAAAACTGCCAAAAAGAATTTCATCAATGACAAAACTGAGGAAAACAAAAATAAACCCCGTGAACTTTGGAAATTACTCAATAACCAGCTTGGCTGCAGTAAAAAACTCAAAACGAGATTTTCAAACGTAAACATAAAGACAGATAACAGGCTCATCACAGACAAACTGGATGTGGCCAAGTACTTGAACATTTTTTTCACAAACATAGCCACAACTCTTGTAAATAAATTACCCTCCCACTCAGGGCTTTTTGGAGTAGATCACATCATGACCTACTACAAAAACCTAGGGGTACGCAAAGATGATTTCAGTCTAGCAAGGGTAACAACAGCAGAGGTACTCATTAAACTGAGCGCCCTCAAACCTAACAAGGCCACTGGCCACGACAATATCCCCTCCAAATTCCTCAGAGACACAGCAACCGCCATCTCACCAGTCATAGCTCACATAATTAACCTCTCCATAAAACAGGGAAAAGTACCCAAAGACTTCAAAATTGCAAGAGTAACCCCCCCTGCACAAAAAAGGGCAGCAAATTGGACCCAGGCAACTACCGCCCTGTTTCTATACTTACCTCCATCTCGAAAGTCATGGAAAAAATAGTATATGAACAGGTCGAAAAGTACCTCGCAGAAAAGAAACTAATCTATGAATTTCAATCTGGCTTTAGAACATCCCACTCCACTGACACATGCCTTCTTTATTTGAACGACCACATCAAACAAGAGGTGGACGAGGGTAAATACTGCGGCATGGTGATGCTGGACCTACAAAAGGCTTTCGACACTGTCAATCACCCCATTCTGATTGACAAGCTAAAAGCAATTGGTTTTGATAAACTATCGGGTGAGCTGGATGCAATCCTACCTGGAGGGGAGAGAACAGATGGTGGAGGTAAACGGTACTCTGTCCCCACCCCTCCCAGTGAGCTGTGGTGTTCCACAAGGAAGCATATTAGGTCCGTTACTGTTCCTAATTTATGCAAATGACATGTCATCAGCATGTGACTGCAACTTGTTCCTGTTCGCGGACGACTCAGCCCTGCTGGTCTCTGACAGGAGCAGATTGCAGGTTGAAAAAACCCTCAGCTCCGAGCTCGGCAGAATCTGCACCTGGCTCGCCGATAATAAATTATCATTACACCTGGGTAAAACAGAGTCCATTCTCTTCGGTTCGAAACATAATCTCAGCAAATCCGACGACTTCTCAGTTGCAGTGGGTGACATTATTGTCACAAGTAAGAAGGAAATTACATACCTAGGATCTATTCTTGAGGCAAACCTCTCCTGTGACAAAATGGCATCCAATGTAATAAAAAAAGTCAATCAAAGAACTAGATTCCTATACCGGATCTCCTCTCTGGTAAACAAAAAACACCCTGAAAACTCTGGCAGGAGCACTCATTCAAGGGTACTATGACTATGCTTGCACGTCATGGTACCATAGCACCTCCAAGGCGCTAAAAATAAAACTTCAAACATCGCAAAATAAACTGGTCAGACTACTGCTTGACCTTTCATCTAGAACCCACCTCACCTCTGCCCACTTTGACAACCTAGGATGGCTTCTTAGAGTAGACGACAGAGTACAGCTACTTGCAATGGGCCCTGGTCTACAAGATCCACTACACCTCTATGGTACCCATGTACATGTCAAAATTCTTCCCAAAGGTCAAGGAATACCATGATCATAACACCAGAGGGAGCTCCACAAATCATGTAAAACCCAGATTTTGGCAGAAAAAAGGGGAATACACGTTTCGCAATTATGCCACATCAAGGTGGAACGCTCTTCCCACAACTGTAAAGGGAAAGTAAAACTATACTTACCTTCAAAACCTCTCTTAAAGAGCACCTTCAGGGGGAAAGCATTGCAAAACTGGCCCCGGTAATGGTTACAAATCTCAACCTGTCGTACAATGGACAGCTTCCCCCCCCATCTATGTATATACTCGCATTTTAGACTCTGTTACTAACTGTATATCTGTAGACTTGGTATGTCTTAAATGTCCGGTTAGGATGTATTAGAACGGAAATCTAAAATGAAAATTGTAAATAAGCCATCTGTTATGTAAAAAACCACCTGTATGTAAATTGTAAATAAGCCATCTGTATGTCAAATATGTCTTATTATGTCTTAAATGATATGCACTGAATTGGAAATGGGGGACCCTGATGTAAACAAGACGAAAGTCTTTCCCTGGTCTGCATCCCCTTAACAATTGTTATGTTTTGAGCTGTACTGTACTGTACCCAATATACAAGCTGTTAATAAACTTTTCAATCAATCAATCAAGCACTATGAGTCCTAAACCATGAGTCAGCACTATGAGTCCTAAACCATGGGTCAGCACTATGAGTCCTAAACCATGAGTCAGCACTATGAGTCCTAAACCATGAGTCCATGCCTGAGTCCTAAAACCATGATCAGTGTGTGTGTGTGTGTGTGTGTGTGTGTGTGTTGTGTGTGTGTGTGTGTGTGTGTGTGTGTTCCTCACCTGTACAGGTGGAGAGAGCCGTCGTTGCTTGTACCTGAACTCCCCCTCGTCTCCGGAGCTCACCTACTCGTAGTCCTCCAGCATGCGGACCGTCATGCCGCTCTTCAGTGTGTTCCTGAACGTACTCAACGTAGGCGGAGCGGCTGGAGAAAGTCTGAGCTCGTCTTGTAGGCGTTTCCCGCCGTCTTCTTCTGCGGCTGCGCGGCCGCGGCGTTAGCATTAGCATTAGCTGGCGCGGCGGTTAGCACGGCAGCAGTAAAGGAGGAGCCACTGAAGCGAGGCTGGAAGATGGACCGGAGGGCGTTACGTTCCTCTGAATCGTCGCCACAGGCCCCGCCCCCTTCACAGGCCTCGCCTCCTTCATAGGCCACGCCTCCTCGGTTTCGATCCCAGCCCATCACGCGCACCAGCTCTGAGATGAGGTTAGCCATCGCCATGGTGAAGTCGAACTGGCGCTGCATGCGGTTCTCTCCGTCAGGTGGGCGGGGGCTAGAGGTGGAGGGGGCGGAGCTAGAGGTGGAGGGGGCGGGGCTAGAGGAGGAGGCGGCAGGGCTTTCCTGCCGCTCAGACTCCCCCCCCCCCCGCAGTGTTCAGTTTGTCCATCAGAGACGTGACGCACAGGTAACGCTTCACCAGAGAGAACAGCAGCTTACCTGGGATCTGAGAGACATCAAGACATCAGACACATCTTTAAAAACATCTCATTCTATGGAGGTGTGAGGGACAGGTGTGAGGGACAGGTGTGAGGGCACAGGTGTGAGGCACAGGTGTGAGGGACAGTGTGAGGGACAGGTGTGAGGCACAGGTGTGAGGGACAGGTGTGAGGGACAGGTGTGAGGCACAGGTGTGAGGCACAGGTGTGAGGGACAGGTGTGAGGGACAGGTGTGAGGGACAGGTGTTTGTTTGTTTGTTTGTAGCCTTTATTTATCCAGGTTAAAAAATCCCATTGAGATCAACGATCTCTTTTACAAGGGAGACCTGTGTGAGGGACAGGTGTGAGGGACAGGTGTGAGGGACAGGTGTGAGGGACAGGTGTGAGGGACAGGTGTGAGGGACAGGTGTGAGGGACAGGTGTGAGGGACAGGTGTGAGGGACAGGTGTGAGGGACAGGTGTGAGGGACAGGTGTGAGGCACAGGTGTGAGGGACAGTGTGAGGGACAGGTGTGAGGCACAGGTGTGAGGGACAGGTGTGAGGGACAGGTGTTTGTTTGTTTGTTTGTAGCCTTTATTTATCCAGGTTAAAAAATCCCATTGAGATCAACGATCTCTTTTACAAGGGAGACCTGTGTGATGGACAGGTGTGAGGGACAGGTGTGAGGGACAGTGTGAGGGACAGTGTGAGGGACAGGTGTGAGGGACAGGTGTGAGGGACAGGTGTGAGGGGACAGGTGTGAGGGACAGGTGTGAGGCACAGGTGTGAGGGACAGGTGTGAGGGACAGTGTGAGGGACAGGTGTGAGGGACAGGTGTGAGGCACAGGTGTGAGGGACAGGTGTGAGGGACAGTGTGAGGGACAGGTGTGAGGCACAGGTGTGAGGGACAGGTGTGAGGGACAGTGTGAGGGACCGGTGTGAGGGACAGGTGTGAGGCACAGGTGTGAGGGACAGGTGTGAGGGACAGTGTGAGGGACAGTGTGAGGGACAGGTGTGAGGGACAGTGTGAGGGACAGGTGTGAGGGACAGTGTGAGGGACAGTGTGAGGGACCGGTGTGAGGGACAGGTGTGAGGACAGTGGGAGGACCGGTGTGAGGGACAGTGTGAGGGACAGGTGTGAGGGACAGGTGTGAGGCACAGGTGTGAGGACACAGGTGTGAGGGACAGGTGTGAGGCACAGGGGTGAGGCACAGGTTGTGAGGACAGGTGTGAGGAACAGGGTGAGGCACAGGTGTGAGGGAACAGGTGTGAGGACAGGTGTGAGGCACAGGTGTGAGGCACAGTGTGAGGGACAGTGTGAGGGACAGGTGTGAGGCACAGTGTGAGGCACCGGTGTGAGGCACAGGTGTGAGGCAGGTGGAGGGACAGGTGTGAGGCACAGGTGTGAGGCACAGTGTGAGGGACAGGTGTGAGGGACAGGTGTGAGGGACAGTGTGGGACATGTGAGGCACAGTGTAGGGACAGGTTGGAGGCACAGTGTGAGGACAGGTGTGAGGGCAGGTGTGAGGGAAGGTGTGAGGGACAGGTGTGAGGGACAGTGTGAGGCACAGGTGTGAGGCACAGTGTGGAGGGACAGTGTGGGGACAGTGTGAGGCACAGGTGTGAGGGACAGGTGTGAGGGACAGTGTGAGGCACAGTGTGAGGGACAGGTGTGAGGACAGGGTGAGGACAGGTGTGAGGGACAGGTGTGCGGGACGGTGTTTGTTTGTTTGTTTGTAGCCTTTATTTATCCAGGTTAAAAAATCCCATTGAGATCAACGATCTCTTTTACAAGGGAGACCTGTGTGATGGACAGGTGTGAGGGACAGGTGTGAGGGACAGGTGTGAGGGACAGTGTGAGGGACAGTGTGAGGGACAGTGTGAGGGACAGGTGTGAGGGACAGGTGTGAGGGACAGGTGTGAGGGACAGTGTGAGGGACAGTGTGAGGGACAGGTGTGAGGGACAGTGTGAGGGACAGGTGTGAGGGACAGTGTGAGGGACAGTGTGAGGGACCGGTGTGAGGGACAGGTGTGAGGCACAGGTGTGAGGGACAGGTGTGAGGGACAGTGTGAGGGACCGGTGTGAGGGACAGGTGTGAGGCACAGGTGTGAGGCACAGGTGTGAGGGACAGGTGTGAGGCACAGGGGTGAGGCACAGGTGTGAGGGACAGGTGTGAGGGACAGGTGTGAGGCACAGGTGTGAGGCACAGGTGTGAGGGACAGGTGTGAGGCACAGGTGTGAGGCACAGGTGTGAGGGACAGTGTGAGGGACAGGTGTGAGGCACAGGTGTGAGGCACAGGTGTGAGGCACAGGTGTGAGGCACAGGTGTGAGGCACAGGTGTGAGGCACAGGTGTGAGGGACAGGTGTGAGGCACAGGTGTGAGGCACAGTGTGAGGGACAGGTGTGAGGGACAGGTGTGAGGGACAGTGTGAGGGACAGGTGTGAGGCACAGGTGTGAGGGACAGGGTGTGAGGGACAGTGTGAGGGACAGGTGTGAGGCACAGGTGTGAGGGACAGGTGTGAGGCACAGTGTGAGGGACAGGTGTGAGGGACAGGTGTGAGGGACAGGTGTGAGGGACAGGTGTGAGGCACAGGTGTGAGGGACAGGTGTGAGGGACAGGTGTGGGAGACAGTGTGAGGGACAGTGTGAGGGACAGGTGTGAGGGACAGGTGTGAGGCACAGGTGTGAGGGACAGGTGTGAGGGACAGGTGTGAGGGACAGGTGTGAGGGACAGGTGTGAGGGACAGTGTGAGGGACAGGTGATTGACAGGTGTGATTGACAGGTGTGAGGGACAGTGTGAGGGACAGTGTGAGGGACAGGTGATTGACAGGTGTGATGGACAGTGTGAGGGACAGTGTGAGGGACAGTGTGAGGGACAGTGTGAGGGACAGGTGATTGACAGGTGTGAGGGACAGTGTGAGGGACAGTGTGAGGGACAGTGTGAGGGACAGTGTGAGGGACAGGTGATTGACAGGTGTGTACCTGAGGCAGGTGGATCCCCTCGAAGGACACCCCGTGCTCCTCGGAGGACGTTGTCTCAGCGAACAGCTCCAGCAGAGTGTAACGGTTATCAAAGTCCATGTGCTGCTCGATGCCGTCCTGCTGACTGAGAGACAGGAGGACATACGCTCTGCTGCCTGAGGACACACAGAGGACAGACATAGAGAGACCATAAATATATACCTTACATACACATTCTGAGGTCACCTATTGATCGAAACCCACTTCTTCACGTCTCTCCTACATCAACATGTGTCCCCTCTGTGGAAAGAGAGGGGCGTGGGGAGGGGCTCCTTAATTTCATCTGAAGTAACAGACAGAGAATCAGCACTTTGGAAACAGGGCTGAAACAGAGGGGATTATGGGTAATGCTGCAATGATCTGTTTCAGCCAATCAGAGACAGGCTCTGGATATATCTGAGACCCAGTGTTTCCGCCAGGGGGGCGTCTTGCCGTCATTTGACGCCCTTGTTCAGTTCAGAACGTCCTGAACTCGAGCCGAGGGCGTCCAAAAAACAAAAATCGAGAGAAGATCGAGTTTTTATCGCTTGAAATGACGAAAAGGAAAAAGAACAAGGACATGCCTCTGTTGGAGGGGCGAAGGAGTCTGGATTCTTCTCACTGCCAGCAAAGCGTGTTCCTGTGACGGAAAGTGTACTGCCGGCGAGCCTTGACGG